TATAAAAAATATTAATATGAAAAATAAACTTAATTTTTTTTTTCTTTTTCCTTCTCTTTCCCCTTGGAACCCAGCATGCTCGGGTTCCTTCAAACCCAAGCACTGGGTTTAGTGGAACCCACACCTCTGTTGCAAGGCACCCAGGCATGTTGGGTTCAAAGGAACTCACGTCGGAACCCAAGTCTTGGGTCCCAGGGGCAAAAAATTAAGAAAAAAAATTTGCTTTTTTTTTTTTTGTGTGTGAGTTTTATTGTTTGATGATGATGAAGAATTGATTGATGAAGATGAAGAATTGATTGGTGAAGATGAAGAATTGATTGGTGAAGAAGGCAAGGCAAGGAAGAGGAAGGAGAAAGAAAAGTTGTGTGCTGGGTTCAAAGGAACCCAGCACGCTTGAGTTTAATGGAACCCAGCACGTCTAGGTTTGAAAGAATTTAGGGGCAAAAAATTTTTTAAAAAATTTTTGTTTTTTGTGGGTTTTATTCTTTGATGATGATGAAGAACCTAGCAAAGGTAGAAATCGGTGGAGATGAATAGATTGGTTGAGATGTTAGAGATTAGTTGAGATGTTAGGGTTTGCAAAAGTTGAAGAAAGGGAAGAGGAAAAAGAAAGGGAAAGATGAAAGAGAGGAACGAAAAAAAAAAGGGCTAAAAAAATGGATTTATTTTTTTGGTGGAATGAGTTGGAATGACTATGTCATCCACTTTTGCTAATCTGTCAATTTTTGTGTAACACGCAATGCTTCTTCTGTCTTCTTTCGTCAATTAACATGAAAAATTAATGAAAGGACCAAATTGAGGTAAAAATGGTAAACAGTAAGAATCAAATCATGGATTTTTTGAGTTGAGGGATTAAATTGGGGGTTCGTATAATAGTTGAGGGACCAAAATGGGGGTTTAACCTTAATATATTTAATTTTTAATTTAGGGTATTTAAATTTATTTGTTTATTTTAAGATGCCATATATGATATATTTTTGCACTTTACCTTTATTTTAAAAAGATAATATTTTTGGGTACAATTTTAAAAAGATAATTACAATATATATTAAATAAAAAGATTTATTAAAAT